AAATAATATTTTTTTCATCACATCATTAACTTTTCCTTATTTTCTAACAACATATTTCTTATCATATCACTATTTAAATTACATTCGTTTTTCAATAATATCCATTAAACACACCCATAAAAGACAATTCTATATTAATTTGGTCATTTTTGCTAAAAAAATATCAAAATTAGACACTTTTCCATTAAGAAACGTGTAATTGGCCATTTTTGTAAAATTCCCCATTATATCCCAGAACAATATACCTGCCTGCCGTTGTCTTATTCCGAAATAAATCAAATTTGAAATAGAAATTCCGCAGCCAAAACTACGTCCACGAGACACCTGTCCTTTGACTGCCTTTTAAATCCATCTCCCTCAATCGCATAGATCAACGGCCCAAATACAACTGCACCCAGCAATCCCCCATCAACGGTTAATATTTCCCCAAAAACACGCCTGAGGTTGCAAACTAGGGCTTTTCCACCATTTATACAGAGCTCTCATAGTCCAAAGTCAGTAAACGGTAAACCACACGACGCATACGTACACTTTCTCTATCTGTATTTTGATTTTTCAATTTTAGGCTTTAGAATCATGGGCAAGGGTCCAGGACTCTACTCTGATATTGGCAAAAGAGCTAGAGGTTTCATTTTAATCTTATAATTTGTTGATTTTAATTAAGTTTTTGTGTTCTATCGTAGACTCGAGTAATAGTAATTTTTATTTGTGTTTATTTGGTGGAAATAGATCTTTTATACAGGGATTACCAGAGTGACCAGAAGTTCACCATCACTACCTACTCGCCCACTGGAGTGGTAAGTTTTTATTATTATTATTATTATTATTTTTTGTTTAATTATTTTAGTATCTTGTTATATAGTGATTTATGCTTCTTTTCGATTCTGGAAGCATTGTTGATGTACATATACTGTCAGAAATGTTTATTATTGATTGCATTTGTTTTTACGAGTTTCTGATTTTTTATTTTTATCGTCATTTGGTTAATAAAACTGTGTATAACTAGTTAAGTTATAAGCTGACTAGCAAGGTAAAATTTGTTGGAAGCTCCTATTGTGCTATTTTCTTCAGTGATTTTTCCATGTTTTTAGGAAATGGAATTCGTACAAGTTTCGCTCACATTTTCAGTATTAGTAATTCTTTTTTTTTTTTTCAGTAAAGATTGTTTTTGGAGAACAAATATTTGGATAAAATCGTGGCAACTTTTATTGGTACCACATTCTGCATGTTATTGTGATAGAACCTTATCTTGCAGGATGAGTTCAGAAGCAGATTCAAAAGAATCTGGTACTTGTAAACGAGAATTGTTAAGCAAATATAGGACAAATGACAATATATCTTGTGAATTTACTTGGTACTGAATTTAAGAAACCGTTTCAACTCAAACAAAATGAAAATACAGGGAAAATAAGCTTTCGACAGGCTGGAAACCCTCCCGACAACCTTTAATTCCCAAATTGACAAGATGTACAAAACAGAGACCCCCCCCCCCAACACACACTTATGCTTTGGTGCCTAACAGTTAATAATACAAAAACTACCCACTTCCCCTTTAACTACTAACATAAATTACATAATGTTCTGCGATCCAATAATCCACTGCATCCCATCCGAACCTCTAATGTCAAACAGCTCACTTCCATCCCCTGTGCACATATGTAAATTTGATTTGGGATATATCATATTGTTGTCGACAATTTAAATAAATAAATTTGTTCCATCTTTTGCAAGGTAAGCTCAGCACTTATTAGAGCAGACAGAGGTACCGAGTTCAAGCCCTGTTATTTAGTGAAAATTTTGCATGGGCCTTTAATGAGAAATTGAATTTGGCTTATGTGGCGTGCTGAAGATTATTTGAATAAATAAATCTGCCCCCTTCCTAATTAGATGAGGTGGTTCAAGCTCAGTAATTATTGTTAAACTTAGAGATGGAACATAGGTTTTTTTTGTCTCTGTCTTATTTTACTTTGTTGGAGCACTTGAAGACATATTACCAATCTTGCACTTATGAGACCCTTTTTGCTTACTGTTTTCTAGAATAGAATATTGTTGAGTCTATGTAGATTTGCGTAGAGTTTCTAACTGATTATTCCCAATTTTGTTTTTGTAGAATAGAAATTTTGTTCAGTTTATGTGGGTTTGTGCCCAATATTATTTTTCTGGAATAGAATCTTGTTAGTTCTATGTGGATTTGTGTAGTGATTAGAGCCAATATAGTATTTCTAGTGTTTCGTAGAGTTTATGGCCAATATTGTTTGTGGATTTGATGGATAATCTCATTATGAATTTATATTTATTTTTTCACATTTTCATGAGTAGTAACTTGAAACTAGTTATTGAATCTTGTAATCTGAAAGAAAACAACCAACAAAACACAATATTTTTCATGTAACCTTGCACCTTCACTTTGTTATTAACGTTAAAATTGACATCCACATGGAAGTGAGGCTGCCTCATAACTTCTCCAGCAACTGCAAAGCCATATATTTTCTGTTTCACATTTACTGTTTCCACACTCTCAGGAAAAAGTTTATCTAGATCACTTTTTGTCCTCTCACAATTTCTCTGTTCTAGTAGTTCAGTAGTTTTTCTCAGGAATGTCTAGTAAGACAGTTTATTTGTATTGGGGAAAACACTGTTTGTTGAATGCTGCTTGAGAATTGGTTTTGAGGATGAAACTTGAATCAAATTTAGTGCAGGTTGTGAAAAATAGGGAAGTAGGCCTTTTCTTGGCTGAACCTTTGTGAATTTTTTGTTCTGTGTTCTATTTTCCCCTTCTTGATTTCAGTCCTTAATTTTTGTCACATTTCTACTATTTTTTCATCTGATTAGTTGATATCGAAGTCAGTTTTGAGTGGATTTTTGTGTTTATCAAAATTGTTGGCTGGAGTAAACCTAACACCAGTTACGTTTATTTTCTCTTGTTGCAGAGTATCACTTCCTCCGGAACAAAGAAAGGTGAACTGTTTCTGGCTGATGTCAATACTCAATTGAAGCACAAGAATATCACAACTGATGTTAAAGTAGACACAAACTCCAATGTATGGACTCCCTTTGACTATTATTTGTGATTTTCTGTTATCTGTTTAGAAGCTATGTTGTTGTTTCTTTTCTTTTCTTTTTGTGCTCTGCTAATGTCAATCCCCACATACAAATTCTTGGATGATGTTGAGTGGATAAATTCCCGTTCAATTGTATAACTGATTTATGAAACCAATGCCAGCTCTTCACCACTGTCTCAATTGATGAGCCTGCTCCTGGGTTGAAGACAATTTTAAGTTTCCGAGTTCCTGATCTAACGTCTGGAAAGGCAAGTATTTTCTTAATTGATTATTATTGAACTGAGAATTCTGCTGCTTGGCATATCTTAGCCATGTCGTGTATTGATTTGCAACTTGATGTGTAATTCCTTTTCATCATTTGTCAATGACAGCTGGAACTTCAATACTTGCATGACTATGCTGGAATAAGCTCCAGTATTGGATTGACAGCTAACCCCATTGTGAACTTTTCGGGTGTATTGGGAAATAATACTCTTGCTGTGGGGACTGACGTGTCATTTGACACCAAGGAAGGAGCTCTTACTAAATGCAACTTCGGAGCAAGCTTCACAAATGCTGATCTTGTTGCTTCATTGGCTCTGTGAGTGGTTTTAATATATATTGCTGGAGAAATTTTTAAACGTTTCTTGCAGTTTCTGCTGGTCATCGGATTCCTGTTCTGGGAGATAACTTTGTGGTACTACTACCTAGCACTATAAAAGTTTTCATTTACTTAGAATGGACATGTTTACTGGTTATGGAGTAAGTATAGGAGCACCGACAATGCTCTGACTAAGGAGTTAGGGATGCTGTTAAAAGACCCTGAAAGGGTCCATATTTATAAGAGACATAAGAGAAACAAAAAAACAAGCAGAGCACACAGAAATCTTCAGTGGCCCCATCATCAAAGTGACAGCTATATCCACTTGCTATTGCAAGTTTTCCTAATATTGGAGAAGAAGATTACCATCGTGATTTCACGCATCTAAGTGATAGATATATTAATAATCAATATACCTTTGTAGTTCAAAAAAGAAAAATTGCCTTGGGGCTCTACAGTCCAGCATTAACATTGAAAAGACGGTTAAGGTCTGTTCTCTTTACCATTTTCAAACCGTTTTTTGTTTTAGATTTTCCAAAATAGTGAAAATGCGTTCTCTTTCCTATTTTCGAAAACGCATTTTTGAAAACAAGTTAAAAATTTACAAAGAAAACTCAAAACGACAAATTTATCGTTTTTGGTGTTTTCAGTTATAATTAAGTCAAAATTTTCAAAACTCATTTTGGGTGTTTTCAAAATGCCAAAAGAACACATTTTCAACAATCTCAAAATGAACACTCAAAATAAAAAACCCAGAATGAATTTAAATTCAAAACACAAAACTGGAATACAAACAGAACACTAAAATACAAACAGGACAGTCCCTTAATTTTTACCATCATTTTGTATTGTAAGATTTTTATCAGGATTATAAGATTAAATATGTATCTTTCATTTGCATTGATTTTTACCGGCTCTGCTTGATTATTAACTTTTTGAATGAAGTTGCTGAGTGTATATTGTGGTTTCAGGAATGACAAAGGTGACACTCTAAGTGCAACATACTACCATACAGTGAGCCTGTTGACCAATACTGCTGTTGGTGCTGAAGTGACCCATAGCTTCTCGACCAATGAGAATACTATCACAGTTGGCACTCAGCATTCATTGGACCCATTGACTACGGTGAAGGCCCGAGTCAACAACTTTGGTAAGGCAAGTGCTCTTCTCCAGCATGAGTGGCGTCCTAAATCTCTCATCACTTTTTCAACTGAGGTGGACACCAAGTCTATTGATAAGAGTGCAAAATTAGGGCTGGCTTTGGCCCTCAAGCCATAAGTGTCCAAATTCTGTTTGTTATGGTTTTGGATCAATAAAGTAGGAAAAAG